TTTTGATATTTAAAATTTATCGATCATATATTTATTATGGCCGCACTTCAATATTTTCAACAAATTTTAAATCGCTTAAAACGAATATTTGTAACTTAAAATATTGAATAAAACTAAAAAAAAAAAAAAAAAGTGATGGCTCGGCTAACGTAGCTCAACCAACTCGGCTAGACTTCAGTGGCCAAACGGCTCGTGAATAGTGAAAAAAAAACTCACTCTTTTATTTATGTAGGAAACCTACGTCATCGAGCGTGATCTTCAATAAAACGATAAACCATTTGTTTGGACTCGGCACCAGCTAAAACTGCTGAAAGGTAACCTTTTCGGGCAATGGACACAACAGGAGACTCATTTACAGTCACTCCTAGAAGATTAATAACAGGGAAAACAAAATAATACAGTTTGTGAATGGAAAAGAATAAATTCTACTTTCAGATGGATTAGAAGTCAGCTGGAGCTCTGCAAAATTGGCCTAGCCTCGATAAGATAATGGACCTTCTTCCTCGAAAGGCTCAAACTTGGTAGAACAGACAACCAGACTTGGAGGAGCTGCACCTGGTTGATCGGAGGTGGTGCAGTTTATGGAGACGGCTGGGATACGACCTGAAATCTTTAACTGCAGATTCAAGTGAGCTGCTTAGAAGGGGATGACGATTCAAAGCTGATCTGTAGACACAGGTTGCAGCGGAATGGTGTTCACAGAGAAGATGGCTAGGACTGAGCAGCAGCGTGCTATGTCGAAGAAGAGCTACAACGGAATCCTACATCGACTCTAATACCAAGTAGATTTTGAGAAATTAATGCAATCTTATTTTACATTGATATATCAAATATGATTTAGAATGATCTATTTATAGATTACATAGAAGAAATAGATAAAATAGCTAACTGATAATTATTAAGGAAAAAATATCTCCTATTGGAAAATATAAATTTTAATCCTTCAACTTCTCAATAATGTTAATTTATCCTCCAACTATTTAAAATGTAAATTTCATCTTTCAATTATTCTATATTATCAATTTCATCCTTCAACTTCGTAATAATGTAAAATTCACCTACAGCTATTCAGTAATTCAAATCCTCCAACTATTTAAAAATGCAAATTTTATCCTCCAATTTCTCAATAATATAAATTACATCCTTCAACTATCTAAAAATCAAAATTTCATCCTCCAACTATTTAAAAATATAAATTTCATCCTTTAACTATTCTGCATTGTCAATTTCATCCTACAATTATCCAATAAAACTCAATTATCATCTTCCAACTTCTCAATAATGTAAATTTCATCGTTCCACTATTCTACACCATCAATTTCATTCTCCAACTTCTGAATAATGTAAATTTCATCCTCCATTTATTTTAAAATGTAAATTTCACCCTTCAACTATTTTACATTCGTATTCATCCTCGAACTTTTCACTATAATGCAAAATTCGTCCTTCAACTATACTTCATTAGTTTCATCCTTCAAATATTTAAAAATATAAATTTGATCCTCCAACTTCTCAATAACGTAAATTTCATCCTTCAACTATTCTATGTCATCAATTTCATCCTCTCACTTCTCAATAATGTATTTTCATCCTACGATTCTTGAACAAGTCAAATTCCATCCTCCAACTATTGAAAATGTAAATTTCGTCCTTCAATGATTTAAATTTCATCCTCAATTTCGTCCTTCAAGTATTCAGAAGCATCAAAATTGTCATTCCACTATTTGAAGGCGTAAACATTAACCTTGTTCACACAAAGTCGCTCCTCTTAAACATGAGTCCATGTTTGACTCAAACTAATTTTCCCCCCTTCAACTTCATTTTCAACCACACATTTTATATGACTCACTATTTTTATCAACTTTTCAACCACACAATTCATCAACTTTTATCAAAATTAACTAAAAGTCTAATTTTTAGTTAAACCAAACAGTGGCTAAATCTATAAACTAGATTAATGTAAATCATGCAATGACCCAACCACCACATGCTGAGCACCATAAGGTAAATTCACTTTCATCACATATCCATTATAACTTACCATAAATTGACATATAGAACTACAAAAATAAGGTTCGGTGTCTTGGTACGTACAAAAACTCCTTCACCTCAGGAGAACTTAACTATTTGGAAATAAGACCAACTATAACTTTTACACCATCTTCGACAACCCTCTGTTTATTGATCTGGAAGGATCCACAAGATCGACGTTAAATGTGATTTTAACCATTCCTCTTGCTAGTAGTCTCACCAACCACGATAACATAGGGGAAGCATACGAACATTGGGGGAGAGAATAAAGTTTTACTGAATTTTATTAAATTATTTGGCTACAACAAACTCCTTGCCTCTCACAAACTAAACTCATTACACGAATGAAGCTCTGCCCCACATAATACATAGACTCGATGTAGAATTACCAAATCTGTACTGATCTGCTCGTAAAGAAAATGCATCTTTGGCAATTCACAAGGTTCTAAACCCCGTAATAACCCAATAACACCTCAGGATTTAAGCGTAGCCAAAAACTCAAATAAAAACAAGGTTTACAAAAAAACCGTCATTATTCATCTAATACTCACCATCGAAAATGTGGTCAACAAACACGAACATCAACACCCATACTTCTCAACTGACTGCTCCTCAACACTTTCTGTCCTGCATGGCTACGAAGCCACAAGCATGAAAGCCGAGCAATAGCTGCCTGACTAGCAAACTGTACCCTGCAGGCAAAGTTCACTTCAGCCAGAATGTTCTCGCCTGTTTTGCCAGAATTGGATATTTCCTCGTATCCTTCAAGGTCTGATTCAGTTACTAACACCATAGAGCCATCATCAAGGTCTTCTAGGTTCTCTTTTGCAGGGAAACCTAGTATTGTATTTGATGAATTATCCATGTTATTCTCAAGTTTCTTTGATCTGTGATAAAAATTTTGTACAGCCTGCATTTTGTAATTAAGAGAAAAAATTGCCATCAGGATCTGGGCCATTTAGTAAAGGAACACAAAGAGAACATCAAAAAGACAATCATGCAAAGAAATAAACATGAACTACTCTAATACCAAAACACCACAATAAAAAGTAAAGGCTACTGCTTGGTCTTTGACAAACACATACCACGGCCCTAACTAAGCACAAAGTTTTATGTGACAGTTGAAAGGTGTGCATTTGGCATTGGTCTAAAAGGCTCAACTAGACACGAAGCTTAGCCTTGCTGCCTAGCCATGCTCTATGCTTTTTTAAGCCTAGGCAAAAGGCTCATAATAGCTCGAAGCTTGGCCTTGCTGTCTAGCCATGCTTTACACTTTTTAAACATTGCTATTTGGTGTAACTTCCAAAATTAGCCACTACATGCTGCTCTTTAAGTGAGAATACTTTTGGCAACTGACTAGAAACTTAGAATACAGGACTTTCATATGTGGGCATTATAAAGAGGAAATAAGAATGCTCATTCATGCACAAGGGGAGTAGAAAACCAAAATTTTTCGTGTCATACAGACAATTTAGAGAACAAAACACGAAATGGTCCTCAAGTTTGTTGTAGTCAGAACCAAACAAAACCACTCAAACAACCACAATGTATATTGGGGATTCAAGCAAAATATTTCCGCAGCCTGGTTTACTTACTGCAGCACTAACCACAGTTCATTAAGCTATACATCTAAATTTAAAGAACCAAAAAGGCCAGGGAAAAAGAGTGGGAAAAAAGCCACTAGCTTGTAACTGAAGGCTGAAGCTAATATAAGCGAATGTATTAAACCTGCCACTGGGAAGAGGCCAACAGCACCCTTGGCCTAATGGACCTCACGTATTCGTATGCAGCCTCAGGGATCATCTGATTGTACTTAACCTGCATTAGTGGGGCAGTTTTAGATGTAAGAATTCCTAAGCCTCCGTTTGGTAACCATTAAAATTTTCATTCTCATTCTTCTACTCATTTTTAACCACACATTCTTCAATAAAATAATATTTTCCATCACATCAATTATTTTTCCTTCTTTTTCAACCACACATTCTCCATGGACCCCACTTGATGTGAAAGATAAAATGTATTATTTGAAGAAGAATGGCTCCCAAACGGAGCCTAAGTAAGTAGATAATTAGTTGTGAAGCTCTGTACAGTGATGCCTACCAGGTAACAGATGACAATCGTAGTGCTGCGGCCTCGGCCAGCTTTACAGTGAACATATGTAGTTTTTCCAAAAAGTGCATTACCTTTAAGATACCAAAGAAAAGAAAGTAAATAAATTAGATATTACAATTAAAACTGACAAAATAGAAAAACAGACAAGACTTATCCTTGTATAATTGCCAGCTAAATGTTAGATTCCCACATTATTTCCAATTTAGAACATCAAAAAGTGATCCTGCACCCTCTTAATACAGGACTACCATTTCAATCACCCACAAAGAGAAAACCAACGAGGAAGGGGGGATTTAGCGACCCAAATTTTAAAATGCAAATTTTATAACTTAAGTTGTGTCGCTACGACGTTTCCGTCAAATTTTAGAAATTATTTTACGATCCGTCGAGTTGTCTAGCAAAACATTTAATATAAGAATTCAAAACGATTTTTAATCTTAAAAATTCAATATTTCCTTTTGGGTCGAATTTTACACCCAACATCTATTTTAAATTTCTCTTGGTCCAATATTCTTCTTTGGCCCAAGTTTGAGTCCATTACCACTAGCCCAAATTCTGGAGCATAAGTTTGTAGGGCTTAATAGTATCAAACCTAAAATCTAATCAATTTTATCTCCAAAAATATTAACTCTCACAGCTACAAAACTCACAAGAATTCAAGGCATTCAACTAGGTAATTTCTCCAACATTGAAACGATTATTTTACTCTAATTTCATCAGTATCATCTTCCAATTCATTAACCCACTGCAACAGTTCATCCTTTCTCCAAATTTCACGTTACAATTTCGAACTTGTATATATATTCTCGACAAAATCTGCACAGGTAACTCTTCCAAAATTAATTTTCAGTTCCTTTGAAATTCTATAATCACCATTCTTCTCAATATATATATATATACACACTGGATGATGGAAGTCAAAGCAGTAAACCGAGTTTTGAAGTCGACATGCACCTCCAATTTTTGCTCACTTGTTATTGGACTTCCTCCTCCAGCCTTAATTTTTGTTGGAAGCCTTCAAATTGTAAAACCCATTTCTTGAAATCCTCCTACCCAACCTTCTCTGCGTAAATATGGGATTTGGAGATGGGGGGTTGGTTTTAAATGTTGAAATTTCATTTTAAATCCCCAAGTTTGGTCAAAAGTTTAAATTAGTCCCCTATTTGATTTTTATTCTTTTACAATCCCTAAAGTTTATGTATTCTTCAAAGTAAATATATAATATTTTCTAATTTTATCATATTGACCATAAACATTCTAATTTTGATAATTAGACCCCAAATATTTAAAGAATTATCAAATTACTCATTTTCTTTACTTTCAAAAGTTCGATCAAGTATCTAAAAGTTTTAAAGTATTAATTAGGACTTAGTATCTTAAATTATATTAATTTTGTTATTGCTAGACGAGGTCGCGGGAAAAGTTTAAAACACGGTAACATCACATCAGTTCAATTTCAAGAAAAATTTCAAGACTTTGAGGTGAGGTTTACAATTAAGCAATAGTGATTATTTTGTCCATGTTAATTCTTGATGTGTGATTTTTTTTTTTATTGTGATATAATGCTTATACATATGAAAAGGTTGACAGGGATCGTAAATAGGTTCGGGATCGAAAGTGGGTCCTTGGGGTTGTCCCACTGTGCAAAATTTATTAAGCGCTAATAACATGTTGTCCAGGACCGTAAATAGGTTCGGGATCGTAATTGGGTCTTTGGGGATGTCCCACAGTACATATTTGTACAGTATGTTGTATTTGTACTATATTCAAATTTTGATTTCATGTTTAGATTTAACTTGGGCTGATTGCTATTTCCCCACTGAGTATAATTCGTTATGCTCACCCCAATGTTTTTCCACCCTTTCATGTTAAGGAGCTAGACAAGGCAAGGCAAGGCAAGGCAATGAACGGGGCAATCATGATTAAATAATAGACAATTTAATTTATAAATTTTTGAAACTAGTATTTTAATAGTCGATTTCCATTTTGTCTTAAATCTCAAATTTTGTTATTTTTGCCAATTGTGGCACTTCACTTATTATATCTGGTACTGACTCTTGGATGAGTAAATTATTCAAATGATGTTTCCGCATTTAGTCCTAACTTGCTATAGTTTTAGAAAAAATATATTTGCGCAATTTGGCGTTTATTGAGAATACTTATTACATGATATTTCGACTTTAGCAGCGCCTTGTGTTAATGGAAATTTGGGGCGTTACAGGGGATAATAGACAGGAATGGGAAAATTCATTTTATGTGATGATGAGGAACTGGGAGCAGGAGGAGTTAGAAGAAGTTGATCTTTTGAACACACTTCAAGCATGACTAATCAACCAATCTTGGGGTAAGCTGTCTCGACTGGTTCGCTTATACTTATTTTCATTACATAAGAAATGACATTCAATCCCTTTAACCGCAAATTCAAAATTCGTTTTATTTCACCATATAACTATCAGGTTGGTGAGAATGGCTCAGGACTCTTTTCCAGTGGAGAGTACTGGTACTTCTTTTAACTGTGAAGTCAACGACCCTAATGTTAGTAGATGTCAATATGAGAGATAGGATGTATCTTTGAATGAAATTTAGACCTGAAAACTCATGGACTTTCTCCGACTTGATTGAACTTAAAGAATAGGAGCAACAAATAGTACAAGGATAAGTAAGAACTATTCACACGAGTGATACCGTAACTTGGGATTCGAGGTAGGAAATTAATGGAATGAAATTTACCATGGATGAATTCAACAGCTCGGTAAATGTCCCCATATGATGGAGCAAAAAGATAATCTCTAGTAGGAATCACCAAGTGTTCAATATTGTGATCCTACAAATAGAAAGCACACAATAAAAAAAACGATCACATAGCGATCTACATCACAGAGGCAGGACTCAAAGAGAAAATACACCTAATGGTGCACACATTTACATAAAACCAACTTTAGAAGAGTTAACCACGCTTATAACCGACATAGATATTGCATCGTATAAGTTAGGACATAAGAACGAGTGAAAAACAATACAGTGCACCGAATTTACATATTTCAAAAACGATTCGATATTAGTATGAAGAAATTATACATACATGATATAATGATGCTGGAACCAAAGTCTCATATGGTTCATTCAAGGTAACAACTCCGCCTACACCAAGAGCCTTCAAGCGCAGAACATCAGTGGGAAATGGAACAGCTCCTAACAAAACAAACTGACAAAAGAAGGAAGTGATCAAAGCTGGCAAAGTTGACAATAGAATAACTGCACGTAATAAAGTATACTATTGTCAGTACACTGTACACCTGACAAGATTACAGATATAATACCGTCCAGAAAGAATATAGATACCAAAACCATGTACATCTATGTATGCAGCCGGTTCTCTCATAATTATTCAAAGTGAAGGAACAGCTAAAAAAATTAACACAACTAGCTCATGACACTGTTAATTTTTCTTTTTCGAGACAAGCAGCTGATGATGCACAGCTGCCAGGAGAAATCAACCCAGATGCCTACTTCGTCAAGCCTATTGCCTACCTCCAATCAAAATGACAGGGTAAAATTAACAATGTCATTATCTTGAGATGTGAAATTTTCAAAACGATAAACTTATTAATCCAACCTTAAATCCATATGTTACTTACAAGATTTTTTGAACTCAAATCTGAGGAAAAATCTAGTGTAGTGACTTGCAGTAATTAGGAAAAATAAAAAATAAAAATTATTATCAACATAAAGATACAGGTTTAAGAGTTAAACAACAACCAAATACACACATAAATGCAAGAAAGAAGAAACATAAAGCCCTCAAATGTGACTGTTCAGTAATTGTGCATACCTCATCAACCCTATCCCACCAACGGAACTCGGATTGTATCTTGTTTCTCACAACATTATACAACAGTGTCGGATAAAAAAGTGCACGAGCCCCAGCGCCAACCAAAACCCTTTTCAGATCCCAAGCAACAAGATGGCTTTGACAGAGATCACCACACAATTGCTGCTTCCCCTCACTCTCTATATCTTCCTTCAGTTCCTCAATATACATCTCTCTCAACTTATTAACTCAACAACTCAAAATTGAATTATTACCCTCAGGCTAAACCTTTCAAGACCCTTGAAACTAATATACGGGAAACCAACCAAATCAACAGAAATCAATAAAATCCTACTATCACATTAAAATTAAAATTTTGAACGCCAATCAAAATATTCAAGAACCATATCAATTCCTAAATCAAGAAAACAACAAAAGGCAAGAAACCCTTTACACAAACACGTAATGACAATAAACTCTCCTATTTGTCTTAATTCTACACCAAATTGATAAATTACATGTCTCAAAAGCAAAAGAAAAATCCAGATCAAGAATGTGCATATTCTTAATCATATTCTCACACAAAATAATCCCACAAAAAAAAAAAAAAAGGATACAATAAGAGCGTCCTAGAAAACCCAAGATTGAACGGAACGGAGTAAAATTCAATATGACCAAAAACCCAGAAAAGCAATCTGATTGAAGTGTCAAGAAAGCTTTTCAATGGCTTATTATATAATTTTCTTGCAAAGATTGTCTGGGTGCAAGAGAGAGGAGGTTTGTTTATCGCAATAGAAGAGTTGAGAGCATCTCTCTCGCAACCTTTCCTTTTCTTCGAACGAACTCTCTTGAATAACGAAACTCGCGCTTTTCTGTTTTCTAATGTAGCGCGCATTTGTATAAGAGCCGTGTTTATATGGAACCCGCTTTCATTTCTGATTTAGTTGGTACAGGATAAAATTAGTTGCCTGTCTGGCCCCGCTTTCTACTAATTGATTTTTGGAACGTTGCTTCCTCTGATGGGACCCATGCAAGAGAGAACTAGTCAACAAAGGTGGGCTGATTTGGTGCCCAACGGTCAGAAAAATGGCATTTCTTGACTTTGAACGGTAGGAATTTTAATTATTAATCAATCACAGACAGCCTCTAGGCAGTGAAAAGTGAAAGGAAGCAAAATTAAATGGGAAAGGGTAATTTTACCTACACGTGTATACTTGTGTTCGCAAAATCCAAAATTTTCTAGCAAATATGATATTTTTGGTTCAAAAAATATGTTAAATCGTGTTTCTTGATTTTCTATAGCCGATAATATTGTTAGAATTTTGTATCGAAAATTGATTTTGATCAATTATGACTTTTGGTATGATTATTTTCCAATTGGCGTCTCTTCAAATATGGAGATAAATTACAAGAGGTGTGTCCTTTTGTATGATTGTGTCCTTGAGACAAATTTTTTCAACTACTATATATAGATCCCATGTGTTTGAATTTTATCATTCAACTCATAATTTCATATCATCTCTCTTGATTGCTCTGCATAAAACATTTTGAAAAAGTGATATTTTCTTGTATAAAAACATGGTTTGGTAGATACAGAATTTCGCTAAGAGTTCGTTGATCTACATAATTTGGAGTGCTCTTATTGCAAGACGTAGTCGTTGTATATTGGGAGATGATTATTGAAAAATCGTTAGCACCGATGTGAGGCAAATTCATGTAAAGCACAAAGTATCGAACACTTGGCTTCGGCCAATCCCTTCACTTGTATTTCCTTGTTTCATTTCGTGATTTTTTCAATAATGTTTTGATTTCAGGAAAAAAAAATGACTAACTTTTTTTTTGTTTATATTGAAATGTTTGAATTAAAGAATTTAATGACTTTTATTTGAAGAATGAAAATGATTGAATCTGTCGTCACATATTCAAGTTCGGTAATTATCATTTCGCCTACTCAAGTCCAATTTTTGGTAAGTCGAATTATGTTTCAATTTCGCACATATAAATGGTACATTTTGAGAATATAATTCATACACGTTATCGATGCAATATCCCAAACAATTTTAAGATGAACTTTTTGGTGTGCATATTATATTATATTTGCAATGGAAATCATGATATTGCACGAAAAAATTCCTTAGACAGATGAGTTTATATAGACTACGTATTTTTCATGTATGTACAACAATTTGAATAAACCGGAATTAATTGGAAAATCTAGAAATTTCATGAAATATTTAGCGCTCCTCCCTTCTATACATTCGTGAACAAATTCACCGTCGGTTGGAGCATATGTATGATATATATCCTTGAGATAATTTGAAGGTAGTTTATTGAATTTGCGTTGCGTCTGTTCAAATTATGTGTTGAAGGCATTTAGTTGATGAGGACTAGAATTAATTTACTACTTCGAAGTAGTTTACTTCATGCCTTTTATTGTAAAACAGATTATATGTTTTATATTATGTCATGCCCACCGACTATTAGTGCATGTATGCTTCTGGGTATGTGCATATATTTGTTTAATTAATTGAGATACGTGTTTTAGTGGTGCAGAACCTTGATTCCCTTCTCTGCATATGGTTGGATTTTGAAAATATAACTGTGACTTAGTAAAAGAATTCCATCCATGTATGGAAAACAAACAATGCTTTATATCGTAAAAATATTGCTCCTAATATGTTTAACATCGTGGCTTTTGAGATGCTCGATTTTATTGTAAGAAAAGAGGAGAATTAATTATTTGTTCAAGTTTCCAAGTCAACTATTGTTAATGAATTGATGATCTTATTTCTTGTACTCTATTTGCAAATTTATTTGATTTCTAATGATAGTGACTTTGAGAAGTCTGATTCATATTTGCATTTACGAGAGATATTTTGGTCTTTTTAGAGTCCAATTATGTTAAACGGATAAAAGTTGTTTTTATATCAATTTCGGACAAATATTCGGACATGATCCTATGGTCAAATCATGAAAGTGAATATAATAACTTGTTTTATTTGTCGAGTAGATAATCGTAGTAGATTTAAAACCTCAAAATCAATTCCAAGTGATTGAGATATTGTTGTCAAAAAATAGGAGAAAAATTGAATTTTGGCCATATAAGACTGTCGCTTGAGCAGTAGCCTGGCGCCAAGTCTCTGCTTTTCGGGCTCGAGTGACCAGGCGGGCGGCTAGCGAGCAACATGGAGGGGAGCTTCCTTTCATGAAAATGCTGAGTTTTGGGATGTATCTCTCCGACCAAAACCCCCAATCTCTATAAACTGGGCTCTTTTGGTGGTCTAAGATTGCTCATTACGATATGCATTGGTTTGTTGATAACTAATTCAATTTTATAGAATTTGTTAGGTTTTAATTATGTAATTGGCAATTATATAAACAAAAGGAACTTAATTGTAAATGTTGTAAAAAGTCAAGGAGTAATTTGCAATTATATGAAATAGGTTTTTAGGTCTAGGGTTCGAGTATAGTAAAAGAAAAAAAATACAGTGCAGATTTTTGCTAGACTGTCGTCAAGGATTGGCTTGAGCTTCAAAAATAGAATCTTCATTGCTCGACTGTCGCTATGCTTTAGCTCGAGCAACAAACTGTCACTAAGCTCTTGCTCGAGTGACAGTGATGTCCGAAAAATTTTTATTTAGCGAATTAAGGCTTTTTCCTTAGCTCATTACTTTTCTAACCTACCTATAAATACAAAAACACATCTGAACGTAAAAAATAAGGTTGATCATTGAGAGAGTTTCATTAGAGAAAATTCGTACATATTCTTACTTTCAACCTTCATCTTGTGAGTTTGTTTTGGTGAGAAAAACATAAATTTCGTAATCTAAATACCAAACTGTTCTTTCCATCACATCTGTTAGAGTTGTTGAAGATCGATGGAAGAGACTGGAGTTCCAGTAGTTGAAGAACGCGGTGTTTTTGGTGGATCTATAGGAGATAAACGATTCCACAAAACAAGGAGTTGTTACAGAATAACACAATTCAGAGAGTTTTGGAAACTACAGCTGGAAGTGGTGCAAAAGCACATAATTCAGGAGAGCTGTCGGATTAGGAGATCAGATAGTACGTGCCATCGTCTAGTTTGGTAAACTGTAAGTTACAAATCATTTATAGTGGATTTATGATTGACAAAGTGCCTGGAGTTTTTACCTAGTTGGGGTTTCTCCGTGATCATACCGTGTATTTTTACTGCTTTCTTTATTGATTATATTAACTGCGGTATTTAAATATATGTTAAATTGACTTACATGTTCAATCATTTAGAGATAATTAATTGGTGACATGTTGCTAATTAATTAATAATTTTAATTCCGCGTAATATACCCATTCACTTCCTTTAGGTATTGTTAGGGTCGAACTACGTAACTTTCAGAATTGAAAGTTCATTGGACAGATTTATGCCAAACCAATAGCTTACCATTTGGTTTTGGTTCATTTAATTGATCGAAATGCCTAATTATTCATTGATAGACAATAAACAAGTGAAAGTAACATTTCATTTGTATATTTTGTGAGATGGCAACACAAATAAAAGTGTACCGACTTCCACGTGACATTGATAATCATTTTATATGATTTCAGGTGTAATATGTAAAATGAATATTGTATGTCTCATAAATGAATCGAACTTGTAAACGAGTTGATGAACTCTAGGTTTGAGCCTAAACCAAGATGTGTGGAGATTGCAATACTACACATTTAATATGTTCTTAATTGAGGAATTGTGAGGGTAACTTGTCCTTCAAGTTATATTCTATATACCTTATAAATCATAGAAAATTCTATGAAGGACAAAATGTAGAAAACTCTTATACTAATTATAATGATGGTTCACAAACATGATGCTCTCTAAGTCAAGTGGAAAAATGTGATGAAAATCGATTATTGCATTTGTATTGGAGCATTTGTATTGGATATGCAGTAATAAGTATTGGAATATTTGATGATAGTTTTAAGTTGAACTATGTTGTAGTTGATAATATTTCAATTGTAAATTGAATACCCATGATTTGAAATTCATTAGTAAAAATGTTTGACTAGTGCAATAATGTGTTAGAAATCCTTTAACGATATTGTTAATTGGTAGATGGTATAAGCTTTAGATAAAGCTAGTGAGAACCATGTGGCTTCATGATATGATTTCTTTCTTGGTGGCAATTTGTATCTATTTAATGAATCGATTATGATGAGATACAAAATTACTTGAAATGGTATGTTTGGACATATAC